AAAAAAAAAAAAAAAAAAAAAAAAAAAAAAAGAAGGTACACACTGGTGAGGCACCCATTGACCCCAACTTCACAGGCATTTCTGTTCTGCTCCCAGATGTTCCTACAGCCGCCAGCTGTATCCCTGAGCTTCAGCAGCACCCAGCGACCGGAGGCTCAGCAGCAGCTACAGCAAAGGTCGGCGGCAGTGACTCAGCCCCAGCTCGGGGCAGGCCCCCAACTTCCAGGGCAGATCTCCTCTGCCCAGGTCTCAAGCCAGCACCTGCTCAGAGAATCAAGCGTGATATCAACCCAGGTATATGTGCCCTTCATGAGCTTCCATCCTTGCCTCTAGAGCACACACCCTCTTGCAGTTTGGGATGTACTTGATTCCTGCAGCCTGCATGAACTGAGGCCCACTGCCCTGTTGGTTATAGACTGGGGGGTAGGTTTTTGGGTGAGCTTTTTTTTCCTTCTTCTGTTAAAGTCACTTTGAAGCCCCAAGTTGTATTGGCTTCCTTCTGTGTTTTATAAACATCCACCTTAGTCCCTTATTCCTGTGCTTATAAGATATCGCGCAGCTAAAATGTTCACCTTTGATGCTGACTTAGGGTTGGAGGCAGATATGGCCATCCCAGAGACCCACTGGCAGCTGAATGTCCCAGCATTCATGTCCACAGTCCCCACCATTTACTATGGTTTTAACCATTACCCATGTGGGCAGCCACTGCTGTTCACTGTCCCTTGCCCCAGGCACCCCTTGCTCCTCCAGGCCCCCCAGACTCCTTGCCAAACCCTCACAGCCATTTCCACCTATTCCAAGCCACCAATGACCTTGCAATCGGACAAAATTGCCAGCAGATAAATGGCACTCAAACTGAATGAAATTCAGAAGTCTGGAGCAGGGCTCCTGTAGGATGACGGATAGGAAGGCAGCCTTTCCTCCAGCCCTGCATTCCCATGCCCTTGTGGCTTCGGTAACGTCAGCTGAGCTCCTGAATTCACCAATACCCAGGGGAACAATGATGAACAAGAGTTGTCCTAGGCCTCGAGGAGTTTGTAGTCCAGTAGAGAATCTGGGAACTTAGATAAGCTGCAATAAGCACACATATGGAAGTATTTAGGCCATCTGTCTTCAAATGTAAGAGTTTTGCTTGAAAATGCAGCCTTTTGATTCAAAAGGTCAGCAGAAAAATAAACAGGTGAGAAGAGCCAACAAAATTTTGGAAAAGAGAAAACTGAGGAAAGATTTATACTATCTGATATTGGAAAATTGTGTAAAATCTTTAAGAATGAGAGCACTATGTTATTGGATGAATGGACAATCAGTGAAATAGAAAAACTCAAAGCAGGTGCAAGCCCATTCCCCATTCATTTATTATTTCACTCAACTCAGTGTGTGCCAGGCACTCAATTCTGAGTTCTGAGGGACAGCAGTGAACAAAAAAGAAAAGAAAAAAGAATCTCTGTTCCAAGTGAGGACAGACAAACATGAAAATGATATGCCCAATGGCATAGGAATGCTGGTGAGGGCCAGGAGTGTGCTGGAGGTGTAAATAGGTAGCCAGATAAGGCCTCGTGAATAAGATAATATTTGAGTCAAGACCTGAGGGACTGAGAGAATGAGCCACGTCAATCTCAGAAGAAGAGCATTCCACAGAGCAGTCAGCTCGTGCAAAGGCCCCCAGGGCAGGAGTAGGCCTGGCGAGTCGGAGAAACAACCAGGAGGACCACGTGTCTGTAGTAGAATTTGAAGCAGAAAGTAGTTCAGTTGGAGGCACATTTGCTACTTGCCTGCCTAAAGTTGGGCATTGTCCTAGTCCCAGGGGATTTAAATACAATCCAATGGGGAAGACAGTCAGGAGATCAAAGTAATTCAATATCTGGGAGGTTCTGATTTAGAGGAAAGGCAAGGGTGGGTAGAAGGAGGAGGCACTGGGGAGATTTCCTGGAGAGATGGCCTGGAGGTTGAGTCCAAGTCTTACCTTTCTCATTGAAATGATGCTCTAGGGTCCAAAGCCAATGAGAAGCTCGCAGCTGATGCAGAGCAGCAGCCGTTCTGGAAGCAGCCTGGTGTCCCCGTTCAGCAGCACCACAGCAGTGCTCCCAACAAGTCTGAATCTAACCACACCTGCTTCCACCTCCCAGGATGCCAGCCAATGCCAGCCCAGCCCAGACTTCAGCCATGACCGGCAGCTCAGGTACAAGACTGCCCTTGTTTGAAGGATAACCCAGGCGTCATTTTACCCCATTCATTTCAGTTCTACTTTGCTTTAGACGGAGGCAGAGTTCAGACAGATTCTAAAGTGCCCACAGCTGATCTCAGCTAAGGAAGCAGAAGATAGGGCTTGGGGTCCTGAGGTCCAGGGGAGGTTACCCGCTGTATCCATCATCCTCTGAGAACAGAGTGGGGCTAGTGGGGATCAGGGTCAACCATGAAGGGTCCAGCTAGGCTGAGCAAGTACTGCCACCACCAGTGGGTCTGCGGTTCAGGTGCTGATCAGTTTCCTATGTCCCCACCTCTGCTTGAAGGCTGTTGCTGAGCCAGCCCATCCAGCCCATGATGCCCGGGTCCTGTGACGCAAGGCAGCCCTCGGAGGTCAGCAGGACGGGACGGCAAGTCAAGTACGTCGTGGATCCTGGCGGGAGGCAGGAGGCAAGCACTGGCGGACTGGTTCCAGGCTGGCCAGGCCTCACCTGCCTGGGCCAGCAGCACTCACATGAGCCTTGCAATAAAGCCAGGGTCTGAGTGTGCCCACAGCTGTGAGGGGGACACTGCCCCTTAGCTTTTCTTCTATCGTGTCCCATTTCAGCAGAAAAAACTTTGAGTCAGCACCCATGCTTAGAGCAGCACTGAATGAAATGGTTCACACCCCATATTTGCCATCATCTTCCAACTTCTTTACAGGTCTAAAGCCCTCACCCCTGGAGACATCCCTGGAAGGTATAGCGACATCCCCTTCCCAAGGACCCTCCCCCAGGCTCCAACTGACATTCCATAGGCACACTTGGTGCTCTGTGCCTCTGGCACTGTGCTTGGGCCCTTCCCTCCCAGACCAGCAGCCCGCTCCCTCCCTTCCCCAACCTCCTCTCCACTGGCACCCGCAGCACCCCACGCAGCTTTGCTCAGCTGCCTAATTACTAGAGACAATGGTTACTGGAGACACAGGGGGATAGTTTAAAAGCTGCTGGAAAACAGTTTCTAGCGCTTCAGAATGAGGCAGAAATAGAGCTATCACACAGACATCTCCTTCACCTTAACACTGGTTTACTGGAGTCCACAGCTCACCAGGACACTGCTAGCCGATCAGCCCTGGGATGTCCTCATGTAGAGGCCTCGCAGGCACCCCCAGGTCCTCTCCCTGGAAGCCTTCCTTCTGTGCCCTCCTTCAGTTCTATCCCTGGTATAGAAGTAAGCCCCAGAATGATTCTTATTTGATTGTTTTTCATAAGTTTATGAAGTCTGTGTCTATGGAGTACATGAAATTACAAGTCGGCTATTATGCCTTGTGTGGTTATGTGCTGAAAAGGTTCCTTTTTTAAAAAGTAGTTTTTACTCAGAAAAGAGAGTAATGGCAGATGGTTACAGCCTTTCTGAGGGCAGGGCTTGCATGTTCATTATTTCATTTTATCCCAATAAAAACTCAAGGGTGCTGGCACATGCTCCTCTTTTTTTTTTTTTTTTTAACTAGTGAAGAGGCTGAGCTTTTAAATGTAGCTCTAAAGCTTACATTCTCGAAGGCTACACAGCACACATGGTGGGGCTGGAAGCCAGCTAACTCCAGGCCACAGGCCCCTTTGGCTCCCTGAATCTTCAAAGTGCACCTTGTTGGCCCTGTCTGGGGTCTCCCATGCCTCAGGATAACTTTCTAGGCAGCCTCTGCCCCGAGACTTTCTGACCCTCCCTTTGGTCACAGGAGGGTAAAGAGGGAGCTGCACGTTGTGGAGAGCCATCTGCAAAGTTCCGTTCACGTCTATCAGTTAGGTGGGGGGGCGGGAACTGGGCTGGTTTTGCTTTCGGATTATTCCTGTTCTTTCTAAATGATCCAAATAAGTGGAAACAGGCTGGGCGAGGTGGCTCACACCTGTAATCACACTTTGGGAGGCCAAGGCGGGCAGATCACCTGAGGTCAGGAGTTTGAGACCAGCCTGGCCAAGGTGGCGAAACCCCATCTCTTCTAAAAATACCAAAATTAGCTGGGCATGGTGGTGGGTGCCTGTGATCCCAGCTACTCGGGAGGCTGAGGCAGGAGAATCACTTGAACCAGGGAGGTGGACGTTTCAGTGAGCTGAGATTGTGCCACTACACTCCAGCCTGAGCAACAGAGTACAACTCTCTCAAAAAAAGATAAATTAAAAATGGAAACAAAAATTCTTGTTACATCACTTTCCAGAGATGCCTAAAATGCCATGAACTAGGGAAGTATGGAAATTCTTTCATCTGGGAACTCTGGGAACTCTAACTGCCATTTTTTTGTTAAACTGATCATTTATACCCTCCCCATCTCCCTGACTGTCTCTTCCAGACACGACCTAACAGCTCCACTCTCCCGGGTGTGTCAGCATCTGCCTCCCTCACACAGAGATGCCTCCTCAGGGGAAGTCTGGAACCCCAATGCCTGTCACGGATGACCCATGCAGGGAAATAACATCTCTAAAAAGATCACACAAAGCAGACTTCTCTCCAGTGTCTTTACACATTTGCTCCTGTCCATAACCCCAGACTGTTCTTCAGTGGCCTTTCTCTGCTCCTGGTTAATGCACCATTATCATCATCATCTCTTTCTTTTTTAAAAAATGTTTTGTTTCGTTTTCTTTGAGATGAAGTCTTGCTCTGTCACCCAGGCTAAAGTGCAGTGGTGCGATCAGCTTACTGCAACCTCCACCTCCCGCATTCAAGCAATTCTCCTGCCTCAGCCTCCCGAGAAGCTGGATTACAGGCATGTGCCACCACACCTGGCTAATTTTTGTATTTTTAGTAGAGATGGGGTTTCACCATGTTGGCCAAGCTGGTCTCAAACTCTTGACCTCAAGTGATCCATCCGCCTTGGCCTCCCAAAGTGCTGGGATTATAGGCATGAGCCACTGTGCCAGGCCTAAGAATGTCTTATTGTGGTAAAATATACATAACTATACTATTTAAACCATTTTTAAGTGTATAGTTCCATGGCATTAAATACATTCACACAGTTGTGCAATCATCACCACCATCCGGCTCCAGAACTTTTTCACCTTTTCAAACTGAAATCCGGTATCCATTAGATACCCACTCCCCACTCCCTTCCCCCAGCCCCTGAAAGCCACCTTCTGTCCCTAAGAATTTTACAACTCTAGAGCCCTCATATAAGAGAAATCATATAACATTTGTGTTCGTGTGATTGGCTTATTTCACTTTACATGTCTTCAAGGTTCATTTATATTGTAGCATGCATGAGAATTTCCTTCCCTTTCAAGGTTGAATCATATTCCACTATATGGACAAACCATTTTTTTAAACTATTCATCTCTCAGTGGACACTTAGATTGTTTCTACCTTTTGGTTATTGTGAATAATGGTTTACAATAATTGTTTAATATATAATAGTGTACTCACAATAACCAAAAGATAAGTATACACATCCATGGGTATAATTATCTTTTTCAATTTCCTCCTTTTACTTCTTTTGAGTATATACCCAGAAGTGGAATTGTTGGATCATATGGTAGAATAGTAATTGTGTGTTTAATTTTTTGAAGAATTACCATACAATTTGTATTAGTCCATTCTCACACTGCTATAGGATGTGCCTAAGACTGGGTAATTTATAAAGAAAAAAGGTTTAATTGGCTCACCCTTCTGCAGTCCGTACAGGCCTCTGCTTCTGGGAAGCCTCAGAAAACTTACAATCATGGCAGAAGGTGAAGAGGAAGCAAGCACATCTTCACATGGCCAGGGGCAGAGAGAGAACAAGAGAGGAGAGGCTACATACTTTTAAACGAACAGATCTCGGGAGAACTCTATCACAACAACAGCAAGGGGGACGTCCCCAGCCATGATCAATCACCTCCCACCAGGCCACGCCTCCAACATGAGGGATTATAATTCAACATGAGATTTGGGTGGGGAAACAGAGCCAAACCATATCAACATTTAATACAGTGGCTGCACCATTTACTAACTCTCACCAACAGAGCACTAAAGTTACAGTGTCTCCGCATTCTCACCAACACCTGTTACTTCCTGGTTTTTTCAATAGTCACCATTGTCATGAGTATGAAGGGACATCTCATTTTGGTTTTGATCGGCTTTGCCCTAATGGCTAGTGATGCTGAGCACATTTTCATGTGCATGTTGGCCTTTTCTAGCTTCTCTTTGGAGAAATGTCAGCCCCATGCCCATTTTTTGATTGGGTTGTTTGGGTTTCTTGCTGTGGGGTTGTAGGCATTCTTTATATATTCTGGGTATCAGTCTCTTATTTGACATGTGATGTGCAAATATCTTCTCCCACTCCATGAGATGCCTTTCCCTCTGTTGATAGTGTCTTTTGATTCACAAAAGTTTCTTACGAAGTTCAACTTAGTTTTTCTTTTGTTGCTTGTGATTTTGGTGTCATATCAATACTGCCTTCTTAAAGGACTTGTTTTCTCCTTCCCATGTGAAACAGGTATGCACAGAGCCAGACCGTGTTTCAAAATCCAGACGCACACCCCACCAACAGCAGCAGTGCCCCAATGCCCGTCCTGCTGATGGGGCAGGCGGTGCTCCACCCCAGCTTCCCCACCTCCCAGCCATCGCCCCTGCAGCCCGCACAGGCCCGGCAGCAGCCACCACAGCACTACCTGCAGGTGGGTGCCACAGCCCAGGGGGCCCCTGTGCAGGCCAGAGAGCTGGGCCATGCTCTGCACCTCAAGTCTCAAAGATATTTTATTCCCTTGATTTCAAAGTTGTTCTATCCATGGTATAGAAGTAAGCCCCAGAAAGGTTCTTATTTGATTGTTTTTCATGCTTAAAGTTTATGAAGTCTGTGTCTATGGAGTACATGAAATTACAAGTCGGCTATTATGCCTTGTTTGGTTATGTGCTGAAATATTCCTTTTTTTTTGAGACAGAATCTTGCTGTCACCAGGCTGGAGTGCAGTAGCACAATCTCTGCTCACTGCAACCTCTGTCTCCTTGGTTCAAGCAATTCTTCCACCTCAGCCTCCTGAGTAGCTGGGACCACAGGCATGTGCCAACATGCCCAGCTAATTTTTGTATTTTTAATAGAGATGGGGTTTCACCATGTTGGCCAGGATGGTCTCGTCTCGATCTCGTGACCTCATGATCCACCCACCTTGGCCTCCCAAAGTGCTGGGATTACAGGCATGAGCCACCATGCCTGGCCTGAAATGTTCCTTTTTTAAAAAGTAGTTTTTACTCAAGGATTTGTGTCTTGACGTTTTCAGAGTTGTTTGAGCAAAAGCCAAAAAACATTGATGACTATGTTGGACTTTTCAGTGTGTTTATAGAGAAAGTCCTATGTAAATATAAAACTAAATCACATTTAATTACAGATCCATTAACCTGCCTTAATAAGTACAGTGATGTTGTGTGAAATTGGGCTTGCCAGGAAAATCTGGAGCTCATTTACATGTGGTCGCTACTTAGAAGGCAAAAATTACTTCAAGCAAGTGCCAAGTATGCCAGAAGCAGGGAGGGTCAGAGCCACTGGTCTGCAGGTTCATGTGGGGGCCACACATCTGCATCTGCCAAGCTCCAGAAGGGCCTGGCCTTCCCTCGCCCATGTGCAGGGTGCCCCTCCTCATCCCAGCCTTTCCCTGTCCTGGGGGGCTTTGTCCCTGGCCTGCAGCCCCAACTGCACCTACAGAGCCATGGAGAATGAGCAGTGGCTAAGGCCTCTTGAGGACTGTGGATTGCGATGAAGATAGCCACCCTTGAAGTTCTAGAGTGCAATTTAATTCCAGTGCTGCTAAGCCATCTGTGCTATAATTTTCAAATCTCCCTGACCCCATGCATAGTGGGAGTCACATCAGACTTTGGCTTTGCAGATCTTGTCAGTTCTCGAGACCCAGAAGTGATTTTGGATGGGAAATGAGCAACAGACAAGTTTGCACACACCTGTTGCATACAAGATACAGGCTATGAATACCGAGAGCCTTTCAGCCCCCTCACTGCCCTTAGGGGCCTTGGGGTGGGGTGCAGAGAGGTAGGTTAGCACAGAACATAGTCTCGGATTTGGGAAGAGTGGGAGTGCTGTGGTGGGGAAGCCTTCGTGGGGAAGGGACTTGAGAAGAGGGAGGGCTCAGAAGGCACCCACCGCAAAGTCTGATGTCCAGGAGATGCCCGAAGTGTGGGTGAGGGTGAAGATAAGAGGACGGTGTTCCAGCCAGACAGCCTGAGCACAAGTGCAGGGCGGCTGTGCCGGGCAGCTTGGAGAGCAGGGAGGTACTGGCTTACTTGCAGGGGGAGATTTCAAGGAAGGGAATAGTGGGTGATGAGACTGAAGTTTCCAAAGTCAGGCTTTGGCCGCTGAAGCTTCTAAACTTCCAATCACGATGCTCCTAGTAGGCGCTGGCGAATGGCCATATCTGGAGGCAGCTAGGGGATCAGGGACCAGCAGTGAGAAGTCTGCAAACTGTATGTGTGTTTGGATTCTCCCCTGTGGACTGTCTGCGTGTGGCCTCAGGTTCCATCATCCAAAAACATGCTGGCTGCATGCAGATCATGTGCACGTGTTAAAGAAACCATTCCCCACAGGCACAGCGCAAGGCCAATTGGGCCAGAAAGAGCCCCCTACTACTGGCAGAGAACTTAGCTTCAGAATTCATCCTAAGGTTCCTTTCTTCCCCATCTCCATCACACCCCCAGGTCTTGCCAGAGCCACCTCTCCCCACATGACTCCCCAAGAAAGACAGCCCTGCAGTCTAACTGAATCTGCAGCACGCCCCACACTGCCCTGTGAGACGGTTGAGGGCGGACACATCAGAACCACCTCTGAAGCCCTTTGTTCTTTTTTTTTCTAGGTACAGGCACCAACCTCCTTGCACAGTGAGCAGCAGGACTCGCTACTTCTCTCCACCTACTCACAACAGCCAGGGACCCTGGGCTACCCCGCACCGCCCCCAGCACAGCCCCAGCCCCTGCGTCCTCCCCGAAGGGTCAGCAGTCTGTCTGAGTCGTCAGGGCTCCAGCAGCCGCCCCGATAGTGCCCTGGCACCAAAGTTGGGACACAATCAGCTTTAACCAATGGATGAGGGGGGTGGCCACAGGAGACGGGGAGAGGAGTCTGAGCTAAACCCTTGGCTTTTGTGCACACTGCATACGTTTCAGAACTCCTGGATGGTAACCATCCCTGGAGTGCAGCACCTGGTGCAGTGGAAATGATCAGGAATACTGACCGTGTTTCCCTTGCCTCCAAGGTTCTTGGGCACACTCTATAGCCATACTGGACAGGAACCAGGTGCCCCGTGTAGGCGTCATTGCTCGGTTTACCTTCAGAGATGGCGCATCTCGCCGCGTCCCCCGAGAGTGTACTGGCCACTCTCGCCAACTGCGACCCGGCCATCTGCGCTAGCTGGCCTTCGCTCTCTTGATCGTCATCCCTTTGCATTGGAGGACTGGGTCAGAGATCTGTTGGAGAGAGAGAATAAAGAGATTATTTTTCATTATTTTTAAATGGTTGTTTTTGTTTTAATTTGCACAGCTGCACAGAGGAAATAACTTAGGCACTTTCTGTTTTTTTAAAAAATAATAAGGTCTCATGGCTTCACTGAGAGACCACAGTAACAACAACAGCCCACCAAATCAGAGAAGCTGGTTGTTATTAACCAAGCTGCAGATTGACACTTTCTGGCCTAAACCCTAACAGGGTGAGGCTCTTCACCCCATGCCATGCTGGCGGTGATTTTTTAGCCCCTAAATAAAACACTGGACTATTTCCTGTTTACTGCATTGATTGCAACTACAAAGGTGGACTCAAAGCAAAGCACAATCATGCCAGCCGACATTCCAGAGTTCTGCTGAGAGCTTCAAGCCTGTGAGGGGAGAGGTTTCACAAGCCAGACAGGCCTGGGGGACTGCAGTCCCCGGAGAGACCCCGCCATGTGCTGGCCCTTTGAGTGAGAATGCTGCATCTTTCTACATATCTTCATGAGAATACTGAGAATTGGATTTTCCTTTTCAAAATGCACTTTGCTTTTTTTGTATGTTTTGTTATGTTGAGATGTTTCTAAAGAAAAGATTTTATGTAATTATAAGATGAAGCGTAGTGAATTGTACAGCTGTTGTAATAATGACCTATTTCTATATAAAATAAAATTGTATGGCTTATGTGTAAATTATTTTGTATCTGAGATACCAGTTCCTTTCCCAAATATAAAAGTATAAAAGTTTTCTTGTGTTTTTCTGTGAGTGAACATTTTGTAATAAATTAACAAATTTGTACAATTTCCTCTGTCCCTTGTTATACATCCCTGCATACATCTTTTCACCAATAATCCTATTTTTCTAATTTCAAGATGTTTCAAGGATAAAGATACAGAAAAGATGAAAGCAAGTGATCAGTAAGTCAGGCAGTGGTCAGCTTTTGCAGCTGCAACATGGGCATCGGCCTATCAGGTTCTGATCTTTGTACTAAAGTTTGCACCAGAAAAACAATCATTTACTGTAGAAGTGACAGCAAAAAAAACAGAAAAAAGTTTCTGGAAACATCTCAGTCTCTCTCTCTCTCTCTCTTTTTTTTTTTTTTTTTTTTGAGACAGAGTATCTGTCACCCAGGCTAGAGTGCAGCAGCACGATCTCGGCTCGCTGTAACCTCTGCCTCCCAGGTTTAAGTGATTCTGCTGCCTCACCTCGAGTAGCTGGAATTACAGGCACCCACCACCACACCTAGCTAATTTTTGTGTTTATAGTAGAGATGGGTTTTGCCATGTTGGCCAGGCTGGTCTCGAACTCCTGACCTCAAGTGATCTGCCCGCCTCGGCCTCCCAAAGTACTGGGATCACAGGCGTGAGCCACCACGCCTGGCCAACATCTCAGTCTTGACATAGGTAAAATCCATGGAGATAACCAAGACATTCTCTACCAAAGCATTCATTTATAGCCCATCATTAAACTCACTCCGGCTGGAATTCCATGGGGTTTCGCCACCAATACTTAGTTATCAGTGATGTGGGCAGCGTATCTGTGTCTGCATATAAAATATGTGTACAGATGCCATGTTGGGGTTGTACTAGCTGCTGGCATAGCTGCAGCATCTAGAACATGTCTGCCAACTACAGACAGCCACCCCATCATGTGGCTGACAGGAGAGTACAATGGTGTACTGTGGTTGAGAACCATTGAGATGGCAATGCCCTTTCCAAAAGCATTGGCCCAAGAGAGCGAAGTTCCTCTCCCTGCTGCATTGTTATGGCTCTCTGCTCCTACTCCGCCCATGTAGAATGGGAATGGCTCTTCCCAGTTCTAAGACTAGGACCAGTTTTGGATGGCATGAAGGGGTGCCATATAAATACATCCAAAAAGTTTTATTACTCAAACAATTGTTCTATTTCTGAAAAAAAGGTAAGTGAAAATATTTTGTACATACTAGAACATATTAAAGGAAGCAGGAATGAACCCCCTTAAAAATGCTGTGTAAAACTGGATTAAGTATTTCTAAATGTTTTATAAATTCAGAGGTTTCTAGATCTGACTTCTCTGGAAAAGAATTTGTATTTTAATTTGCTGTCAAGAATTTTTTTAAGCAGAACAAGATTTTTAATGGACACACCATATTTATTGTCCTAGAATTTTCTAGCTGGAAGTCATTAAGAGAAGGCAGAGGGTGCCTTCCTACTAATTTGATTTAGCTTTGCTTAAATCTTACACATGTTCAGAATTTGGATAAACTCAGAAAACTCTTATTGCGTAATATTTCTTTAAACCCACATTCATCATGGGAAGTTTAATCCCTAAACTTTTGATTCATTGAAGTTTGCTCATTAAAAGGCTATTTGCAATCCTGTCCTATTTCCAGAAAAACCATGACCTTTCTATTTGAAAAACTATAAAATCCTGGCTCATGTGAACGGACTGAAATATGAACTCCGGAGTACACTAAGTTTATGATCTTTTAAATTAACTCAGTTAAAATGTATCTACTGTCTCTAAATCAACTAAAATTCATTAATAAATTTTAAAATGTTATTTGTGCACACAACATGGGGAGTTAGCCAACGGTTCTAAGCCATGACATTTTACACTCTTGTCTAAATTATCTGGTAAAATTTGTTTTTGTACAAGACTGCTCCAGTTTCTCTCTTCACTTTGTGTAGGCACAGCCTGAAGGTCTCCAAGTCTGCCATTAATGTCCTAGAGAAATAACTAATCTGGATCCTCTAGAGAAACCTGTTAGCAGCTTTTTGGGCAGACATGCATGAATTTCATACTATCCATATAAACAGCTTTATTTTTCTGGAGAAAAAAATGCATTAGAAACATAAAAAAGAAAAAACTTATGTAGGATTTTTGCCTAACCACACAGACACACCTATGATATCAACTCCTTTTTAAATTACAATTATCTTTTTTATATTTCATGTTTTATTTTAAGCATGAAGTCGGGAACTCATGGCCTTTTATGAACTCAACTTTTCTAATTGACTATTATTATTTATTTCATGCTCAAACTGGTACAACCCAGCCAGCGAGAGCCGGCTTCTGGGTTCGGCTGCTTTCTCTTTTTAGCATTGTCCATCAGAAATCAGGCTCCAGATTTCCTGGGAAACAACACAATCAAGGCCCATACTGACTTATTTTTTATGTATTTATTTTTTCCTGTCTCAAGGCATGGAGGCAACTACCCTCCAAGGAGTCCTGATTTCTTTTAGTTAATTTAAAAAAAAAAAAAAGTAGAGATTAAAATCTGAATGCCTAGAGTTAAGTATAAGAGCTGGTATTGGGTCAAGTGCTGCCTCTGTTGCTGTAATTGGATCATCCTGCTGTGATGGAGCTGAAAACACCTTCAGTCATGAAATTGCATTGAATTCTGCAATATAATATATATTATATTGTAGTCTACTTTTCTAATGTGATTTTGTTCAGCACTAAAACTTTCTCCTAAATTGACATTCCATATGAAGTCAATTATGAACTATTGATTTTAACACTTCAAATTCTTCTTGTACCACTCTTCTCTCTGTCACATTAGTTGCTGCCTCATCTGGACCCCATTTAGGCTGGGTCACAGAAGCAGCCTCCACACTGACCTCCCAGGCCCGGTCTACCCACACCACGTCTGGACATGGCTCTCTTTAGCATCTCTTTCCTACCCTCTTTTAAAAATCTTTTGGTGGTGCTTCCTGGGAAGTTCTACTGGACCTTCCTGGAGCTCAGTCCAGCATGAAACTGCCAAGGAGGACCCCCCACCCCCAGTCCCTTAGGTTTGTCACCCCTAAAGCTGGTGGAGGGGAGTGCTATTTTGTTGTTTCCTGTCTACTCTTGCTGCTCCCACAGGGAAACATTCAGAGCTTATTTCATTTTAAGGATTCTCTGCTAATCAGTAAAAGTAAAAACACATGAGTGATTAGCACAGCTAACAAATACCAGACAGTTACAAAGTAAAGTTCCTGTTACGTGGTTCTGGTCTCTTTACGGCCCAGCAGTCACTGACCCCGTCCCTGGGGCTTGGGAAGGAAAGAGAAGCTGGAAGAGTCTGCAGAGCCCCAGGCAGGTGAATGATTTTCAGTCCCCAAACCTAACAATCTTTATTATAAGTCTGTTCAACATTTATATAAGGCAGCAGAGTTGACATCTGAGAGGGACATTTTTTTAGATTCCCACTGGAGGGGTCTATTTGTTTCAACAAGAGGTAGGATCTACTCACATTTTGTCAGTTACATGGAAACTTGAGTCCGCTGGCACGAGACTTCTGATTTATTACAGTAACACTTTTATCTCTAATGGATGGTACCTCAGGAAGCTGTCCCTTAATCCCTCTCTAGGTGCTGGGAGCCAGATAGAAAGGGCAGGATCACATCTTCAGAGAGTGACTGCAGGGAGTCAGGATCAGAACGTTGATCCCAAAAGGGCCATGGGGTAAGCAAGGCCTGAGGCAAGCTTCAGGGTGCCTGAGCATGAGAAAGAGGAGATGACAGCAAGCATCACCGGGTTGAACCAAAGGGTGCCAGCCTCTCTTCTTGTTAACAGAACCCCACTTCTGTGCATTAAAAGCAATGTGTCTAGTCCAGGCCAAAAAAATACACAGTCCATCATTAGGTCAACGTAATCATGACAATCCCATTTGCTTCTGGCAGGTACGTGCTCTCCCAGCCTAACTGCAATGGAGCCCCTAGTTCTAGCCAATGACAGGCAGAAAGCTACTGGAAGTTTCTGGAAAGTCCTCTGTAGTCTGATAAGATACATGGCAGGAAGCTTGCTTGTCCACCACCAACTCTTGCCTTTGAGGACTGCTGGGAAACCTAGAGGTACAGCTACCCTGATACAGGACACAAAAGTTCCTCATGATATCACAGTCCCTGTTCCAGCCCTGAAATTGTCTGCCTCCAGTCCTGCCTGTGAGAACCTGAGACGTGTCCATTGCTGAAAACCCTGTTAGATTAGGGGTGTCTTGTTCTGGGCATTTTCCCATTCACCAAAGAGCCAAGCATTAAGTAGGCCCTTTCAACTTGGAACATCAAGCTCTTTCGTTCTGGAAATTTCCTTTAAATTCAAGGTCCCATCATCATGAAATTTCAGAAATTCAAAGAGAAGATCCTAAAATCTTTCAGAGAGAAAAAAATGACACATCACTTCTCAACCACACTGAAAAATTGAAGACAATGAAGCCCACCTTCAAAATGCTGGGAAGAAAGTCTTTTCAATCTAGAATTCCATACAAGCCAGAATTTAAATTTGAGGGTTGAATAAATATTTGTATATTTGAGGGTTCAGAAACTTTTTAGCTCGTGTGCTTAAGAAGGCACTAAAAATGGTGTACTCCTGTGAAAGAAGGGAATAGGTGGAAGCAGCCCACTCCCACACTCCAGTGCTCCAGAAGTAAAGCTGTTTGCCAAAATCACTGACCATCTCCTGTTTGTAGAACCTAAGGGAGACATCTGTTTTTGCCTTACTTGAACTCTGTGGCACTTAGTACCTGTGGGCCATGCTGTCCTCTAGTTGGCTTATATGAGAATTTTTTTTTTTTTGAGACAGAGTCTCAACTGTCACCCAGACTGGTGCTATCTCAGCTCACTGCAACCTCCGTCTCCTGGGTTCAAGCGATTCTCCTGCCTTAGCCTCCTGAGTAGCTGGGATTACAGGCACGCACCACGACACTCGGCTAATTTTTGTATTTTTTAAGTAGAGACAGGGTTTCACCATGTTAGTCAGGCTGGTCCCAATCCGCCCACCTCGGCCTCCCAAAGTGCTGGGATTACAGGCATGAGCCACCACGCCCGGCCAAGAATATTTTCTTTTTTCTTTTTCGAGATGGAGTCTCACTCGCTGCCAGGCTGGAGTGCAGTGGCTCGATTTCCCCTCACTGCAACCTCCACTTCCCAGGTTCAAGTTGCCACAGCCTCCCGAGCAGCTGGGACTACAGGCACGCACCACCACGCCTAGCTAATTCTATTTTAGTAGAGACAGGTTTTCATCGTGTTGGCCAGGCTGGTCTCGAACTCCTGACCTCGTGATCCACCCACTTCAGCCTCCCAAAGTGCTGGGATTATAGGTGTGAGCCACCACGCCCGGCCTAGAATATTTTCAGGTAAGTCTTTCCACACTGCTCTAATGATTCCTGACTAATTTCTTACAGCCTCTGCTTTCCATACCTCTTAAATGTCGCATTTCCTCTGGTCTTCTCTTTCCAAATCCTCTTAATTTTACCTCCTTGTATCTATAAAATTAGTCCACTCATTTCCAATCCCGCTGCAACTGCCTTAGTTCGGACCCTCATCATTTGTCTGCATTTTATCAATAGCTTATTTCTAGTGGTCTTGTAGCCACCAAGTGCTCCCAAGCGATACTTTGGGCAGCCAAATTAATTCTAAAACATCTGATCATGGCGCTGCCCTCCTGGAAACCTTTCAATGATTCCTTATTACCAGTAATAGTTAAATCTTCAACGAGTAGGTCCCCACAGGCTCTCTCACTCCTCAACCAAGAGTCTGGGAAGCCACGCTACTCCAGTCCTTCGACGTGCAGCAGCCTCCACCACTCCTCAGTTACTAATATCTCCTGTCAGTGTTTCCAGACCGCGCACCAGTCTCCCCTCCTTTCTGCATCAGACCCACCCTCATGCACCGGGACGACGCGACCGTCCTGTGGCGCCACCGCCCAGGACAGCAACCACTCGCAATGCTGTGCTGGCCCTCCTAAGACCTCCAGCGCGGGGCTGTGTCTTAGTGACCCTGGGACCGTCAGCCAGGCACCGCGCCCGACGCAGGCTCAGTCAGTGTTGGTAGGATGCATGAATGAATGGGGAAAAAAAACGAAAGTCTCTCTCTCTCTGGCCCTGCTCTCTCCAGCTGTAGGCCTAGGTTTGGGTTTTATCCGAAGACTTAGACAAGGGACGCAAGTTCCTTCGCGGAGCCAGAGGGAATCTCTCAGCTAGAAGCTGGACGAGAGCTTGCAGCCCAAACGCACGCACCCGCCCTGACCCCGCTCGCTGGCCCCATTTCGGCGCGCGCCGCTTTCGTCACAGCCTCGTCTCTCCCCTTCCATAGCCACACCCCCTCTCCAGGCGACCCGGAAGTTGTACTCGCAACTGCGGCTTTCCTTCTCCCACAATTCCTCGCGCTCTTCCTTTCCACCTCCGACCCGGCAAAGTGAGTATGTGTGGCGGAGTCTGGGCTTCTGGAATCCGGCCCCATCCTCCTTTAGGATTGTGCTAACTGGGACCGCGAAATCTCTCCCGAGCCAGCCCGGGGCTCCGGTTGTGGAGAGATGGGAATGCCCGCTGCTTTTAAGGGCTCCCGGAGCCTGAGGAGGAAAGTGACCAGGCTTAGGGGAGCCGGGGCGGCAGGGATTTCCGGGTCGGAGGCATCTGAGAGCGCGGCTGCGTGGGTCACTGGGTGACCGACTTAGCGTGGCCAGACCTCAGCACCTGAAAGCGCCCCGAGAGTGACAGCGTGAGGTTGGGAGGGAGGACTTGGCTTGTTTGTCCAGCTTTGTCCTGAGCCTCCTTGTCGCCTGCATTTAGATGGCTCCTGCAAAGAAGGGTGGCGAGAAGAAAAAGGGCCGTTCTGCCATCAACGAGGTGGTGACCCGAGAATACACCATCAACATTCACAAGCGCATCCATGGAGTGTGAGTATCCCCGTAGCCGCCCTGGAGCGCAAACTCACGCGTCTGGTTGTCACTCTCAGAGATGTGCCGAATCGTCTCCACCCCAGTCTTTTCCTCTTGTGTCCTTCCCTGTTTCATTCATTGGCAAGTGAACAAATCCTGTGGACCCTACCTTCCAGATACACTCACGGTCTGACCAGTTGCATTGGTCTTCCTGACCGCCCCCATTCTTTCTTATCTGAATGCTGACAGTAGTAGTTCCGTGTTCCCGTTCCCTTCCCTATCCCCAAACATGTATTGTCTATTCTCAGGTCCTCCATCGGCCTTCTGTCTTAGGTTAGAAATCAAGAGTTCTTGGTGTGATCCCACATTGGCTGACCCACTTAATCATACCGGGCATGCTTCTGTTTCAAAAGTAGCTGCTTTGTTGAATTTTTACCTTTTTTCCCCATGCCTGAATGCTTTTTCACAGATAATTAAATGAGTCCAGTGTCAACCTTGGCCCCCTTTTTTTGATACAGAGTTTTGCTCTGTCTCCAGGCTGGAGTGTAGTGGCCCGGTCTCCGCTTCCGTTCCTCAGCCTGAGTGGCTGGGACTACAGGTGCCCACATCATACCTGGCCCACCTTGGTCGTCTTATAGAAACTTCCCTTCCCTAATGTTTTCTCTCTTTTTTCCCTGGTTTGTCTTTCTCTGTAGTATTAGATACCATCTGATGGACTTTGTAAAGCTTATGTAAGCAACCTGTGGATTTATGGATTGCCAGCTGCTGTTATTTCTAGTACCCTTTACTTCTGTGTTTAAGTATTTAAGTGAAGTGAGCTTGCTTGATGGGTTCTGGAAATGGCATCATACTACTGGAGAGGATAGGGCAAAGGAAGTAGTTTACAGTCTTGGGGCGGTGGGACACCTCTGTAGGCTGTTTGGTCTCTGCCTCACTTGAAATGGCCTTATCCAAATGGTTGGTCTTTTTAGCCTGTGTAGAGTTCTGCATTTTTGCATTTCTTATTTAACTGAAAGCATAAAATTTAAAGGTATCTGTGTACCCTCGTCGTGAACAGAGGGTTATTAGTACCTAACTCGGAGTTCTGAGCAGACATAAGTTAATGAATGCACATGCTGCTCTTTGGATAGAGACTGACAGACGGAGAGCTCCATGGAGTTAACCATTGCCCTCATACTCAAGAGGAAGTCTGCCTGCACATTTCAGATCCCTGCTCTTTAAGTGTAGACTAAGTTAATAGCGTTGAATGATCTGTCTGTTCCAATAACATGTCCTGAGGACTTCATGGTTTATGCATCTTATCCTAATTATTGTGCTAGTTGCTGAGCACTGCACACAGGTGGCGAAAAAAGGATTGTTCCTGCCTGGTTTAAGGATTGGCTTAGGTTGGTTTTATGACAGGAGGACATACCACCTACAGTAAGTCTTCACTGAACTTTAAGCTGGCCTACTGTATGCTGTCAAAACGTGGTTTTGTTATAGAGGACATTGCTTAAAGTCCATTTCCAGGAGCCTATCAGTGATATTGAGGACTTCTTATATGTATCTAATTTAATTTTCTGCTCCTTTGTTCGTTTATGTTTGAATCTTAGGGGCTTCAAGAAGCGTGCCCCTCGGGCACTCAAAGAGATTCGGAAATTTGCTATGAAGGAGATGGGAACTCCAGATGTGCGCATTGATACCAGGCTCAACAAAGCTGTCTGGGCCAAAGGAATAAGGTGCTAAAGTTATCTGTATTAGAAGGTGAACTTTCACAATGACACCAGCGTATCGGGCGCTTACCTTGCAGAGCCTGTATTAGTTGAGTAATTTGGTTAATGCATGTGGAAGTATAATGAAAATACTGTGACATGCCTCAGGGTGGGGTAACATCTGCAGGGAACCCCTAAATATGCCTTACAAACTGAGACCCAAGTGAAGGAGCCAACACTGTAGGGTGGGAAAGAGCATTGCACAGAGACGAAGCTTGGTAGGATCTGGAAGCAGGGTGGTTAGGGCAGGTTGGGTGGAATAAGTGACTGCAAGCCCAGTCAAGGAGGGACAGGTGAGGGCAGACCTTGTAGGATATATAGATAGCATGACAAGTCCACCATGAGAGAAGTGGTTCTTAGCCTGGGGCAGTTTTACCTGTCCCTTCCCAGGGTTGTTGGGGGGGACAGTTTTTTTGCTGTCACTACTGAGGCATACTATGGGCCAGGGACTACTCAACACCCTACATTTCATGGGGCTACTCCCACAACAAAGAATTGCCTAGCCCAGGTGTTAGTAGTGTTGACATTTGACCCTGCTGTGGAGTGGAACCAGAAGGCAGGGGAGGCTTGTGCTTTGTAAAGGACATCAAGTGGCAGAAGTAGAGTGAGGGGCAGCTAGAGGAATGATGACAGTGTGGACTAGTTGATTCTGGAAATGGATGGCGGAGGGACTGTCTGCATCTGGGTATTTAAACCTTAGGATTAAGTGAGATAAACGAGAGAGGGACCTGAGACCCAGCTTTTCCATGGGTGGGCCTACAGGGGGACAGCAGGAGAGGTGTCTAGTAAAGGAGCCTCCATTGCCTTCTTTGGGATATTAAGAGGGATGGGCTCACAGGAGCCAAGAGAAGTCCTGAATTTATAGAAATTCGGGGCCTAGAACAATACTGGGCACATCATAAGATCATAGAGAATCAGCTGTGATGCTGCAGGGAGGGTAAAACGGGAGGAAAGGATAGCATGCGGAGGATAGAGAAACTGAGTATGCGCCTGGGCAGAATTTTTAGGTGTTTCTTCACCTTTTTTTTTTTGTTTTTTGCGCGATGGGAGCCGGGGGGATGAGATGGTGCCCAGGCTGGAGTACAGTGGCATAGTCTCAGCTCTCTGCAACTTCCACCTCCAGGTTCAAGTGATTTTTCTGCCTCAACCTCCCAAGTAGCTGGGATTACAGGCACCCACCACCACGCCTGGCTTCTTTTGTATTTTTAGTAGAGACTGGGTTTTACCATGTTAGCCAGGCTGGTCTCGAACTCTTGACCTCAGATGATCTGCCCATCTTGGCCTCTCAAAGTGCTGGGATTACAGGCACCTACCACCACGTCTGGCTTTTTTTATTTATTTTTAGTAGAGACTGGGTTTTACCATGTTAGCCAGGCTGGTCTTGAACTCTTGAACTCAGGTGATCTGCCCATCTTGGCCTCTCAATGTGCTGGATTACAGGCACAAGCCAGCCATTTCTTCACATTTTAATGTAACAGAAAAATCACATAAGTTTCTGGCACTAGAGACAAAAGACTGACACATTTGGACCCAGATATATGCTTAGGATTAACTGATTGAATATCATGATAAATTCTTGTTTGGTCATACTAGATGACAGGACAGCATTAGAAGCAGGGATGAGATACATGAATACAGCTGGCAGCTGCTTGGTTGAAAGGATGCATTTACTTTAGCAACACAATTATGTGTTTATTAGGAATGTCCCATACCGAATCCGTGTGCGGTTGTCCAGAAAACGTAATGAGGATGAAGATTCACCAAATAAGCTCTATACTTTGGTTACCTATGTGCCCGTTACCACTTTCAAAAGTAAGTTCTCCATCCCATAAAGCCATTTAAACTAACATTAGAAAAATGTCCTTAGCTCTGTTAAAATGTGAATTCATCTGTTAAGCTAGGAGGGGTGACTACATCATTATACCTTTTTTTAAATTGTGTTGTGGGAAGACGCTAAAGAAAGCTAAACTGGTCCACATCTGGAGTGTGAAAAGATTGTGGAAAATAGAATGCTACAGGCCCAGACCCTCCTACAAAAGGTTTCGAGAGTTAAAATGCGAGATGTGATGTGGTGTGGAAGCTGACTGTCATTTCTTTTACAGATCTACAGACAGTCAACGTGGATGAGAACTAATCACTGATCGTCAAATATATCAAATAAACTTAAAAAAATTGCCTTTATGTTTTGGTTCTTTTTAGTTACAACATAATGTGCTTGTATATCCTATCCTAATTATGGGATCATTTGGAGAGCTTTTCTCACACTGATGGCCTGTGCTGCCTTTCCCCTCATCCCCTGGGGTTAGATTTCTGGACAGGGTCTAGGCAGGTTTTTAAAGCTGATTTCGAAGTGCAACCTAGTTTTAGAGTCACTGTTCTGGGTATTTGGGATACTGAAGGTATATTGTTAATGATTCTATTTGTATGTTTTGTTAATTGTAAGATAAGCGTTTTTCCAGAAACCAGGATGTAAAATTCAGTTGATATTGGCATCTTAACATTTTTAGGAAACAGCTTTAAAATGACGTAACATCTGTAGCATCTTAAATTTATTGAAATTAACGTGGTAGTAGGTCTTTAAGTTTCTGCCTACATCTGTATTGAGTATTGTTGTCTTCTAAAATAATTGATTTTTGGTGAGGTAACCAGATTCATATTTTAAGTCATTTGTAATGGTCCTGTGAGTTATTTGTAGTCTCAGGTTCTTGGAACCAAGGTTCAGAAGTTCCTTAAGGTATCAATAACAAAAATTTGTAGTAATAATTCAGTCCTGGGCCAGGCATGGAGGCTCACGCCTGTACTCTCAGCACTTTGGGAGGCTGAGGCGGGCAGGACAGATCACGAGGTCAGGAACTCAAGACCATCCTGGCCAACGTGGTGAAATCCCATATCTACTAAAAATACAAAAAAAAAAAAATTTAGCCAGACATGGTGGCACACACCTGTAGTCCCAGCTACTCAGGAGGCTGAAGCAGGGGAATTGCTTGAACCTGGGAGGCAGAGGTTGCAGTGAGCTGAGATTACACCACCGTACAACACAGCAAAATATTTCAGTCCTAAAGCAGTGTTTCTGGGATTATTTTTTACTAGCATCTACAAGCTGTATGATGAATGCTGCCATAAAGAGGTCTCTGAAGCCCCACTGGTGATGATAGGGCACACCCAAGGTGGGGTTGAAGAGTACCTACAGTGTTTTGCGCCCAGAAACCATGGATGGGCAGTAGCGACGTCCCAGCTTACCTGTTCACTAGCAGTCCACAGTTTTAAGACACTTAACTACAAGGTAAAGAAAAGGACCAAGTAAATACAAAAAGTTTCTTATTAAAAACTTGGAAGCCAACATTGAAAGCATGGTTTGTACACAACATTTTTGGAAGGACATATAAAGTGAATACAACCAAATATATTAAAATGGTTTCAATTACCAGCATTGAAACAATTAGTGCAAAAAAAGCCAAATACAATTGCACAGATAGTGGACTCCCTTAGATCTTGAAGGTGAACTTGATTCTTGACCTCTCCTATTGTTATTCCAAGTGAAAAATGAAAGCATGGGGCTTTTCTTGCTTCTTGGTTAGTATGACACATGAATTGTGTACATCTGAGCGCAAAATCACACTAGTATCACAGAAGTGCCCATTTCAGCAAATCTGGCAAAAACTAAGCATCAAGGGAACTGATGGGTACCCTAGCGCACTGACAATCAAAGAATACATAGAAATGCTTGAGGATTGTGTCGGTTCCCCTGGCCAGTTTGTCAGGTTGTTTATCCAGATGCCCCATTTGCAAAGTAGACTGAAATCTGGGTTTAGGGCTGACCGCAAGAAACAGTCTGGTCCGTGCTTTGGTATGGCCAACTCCAGTGTGCATAGCAGCTATCTTGTTACAAGTTACTCAGCTTAAGTTCAGACTGTGATTGGCTCATTTCAAGAGTTTTAAGATTGTACTGATTGATCTTGGCATTTTCAAGTTTGGATTTCATGTCTAGTGGCTTTTCAAAAAAGTTTACTAATGACTGTTCAGTCAGAAGAGAAGCTAAAATATGTTCAAGGGAGACAGTCCAGTCCCCTTCTGCCTCCTCTGGAAACTCCTGGGGAGTCTTCCCAGTGTCCGAAAAAACAGAGTCCTGCTCGGGAGAAGGAGCTGAGGCCCGCAGCTCCTCCCCACACTCCTGGGAGCAGCTTCCAGAGCTGCTGCTTCGCTGCCCCACCTCCCCGATCTGTAGCAGCAGCGTGGTGACTGTGGCGATGGCTTGGTACAAGTCATTTTCTTCTGGATCTTCATGGAACATGCTGTACAGCGTTTTACAGAACTGGATAAATTCTCTCTGAAATGGAAATAAGTCTTTTGTAGCAGCAGAACCAAGGTGCAAGTGTCATTTTTTAACATTTTACCTGTGATCTTTGAGAAAACAACATAGTACTTTTGAAGACACAGAATGTAAGAACGGGTATTCTCTGCCCTTCCACTCTGAAAACTATTAACAGTGGTGACTCCTGGGAATCTTAGCACACACTTGGAAATGGGCAGACCTTCCTAGAGGATGTGCATATCCTCTAACACAGCAATTCAAGAAACCACAGCAGGCCGGGCATGGCTCACGCCTGTAATCCCAGCACTTTGGGAGGCCGAGGTGGGCGGGTCATCTGAAGTTGGGAGTTCAAGACCAGCCTGACCAACATGGAGAAACCCCATCTCTACTAAAAATACAAAATTAGCCAGGCGTGGTGGGGTGTGCCTGTAATCCCAGCTACTTGGGAGGCTGAGGCAGAAGAATCGCTTGAACCTGGGAGGCAGAGGTTGCAGTGAGCCAAGGTCAAACCCTTGCACTCCAGTGGGGGCATCAAGAGCAAAACTCCATCTCAAAAAACCACAGCAATGTACAGATTTATCCATAGGGATCTTTAAGCTAGTTTATCATAGGAGAATGTTAGAAACAGCTGAAATGCTATCAAGTTAGGGCATGTTCCTCTGTTGGGAAGCCCATGTGGGACCTAAATGTAAAATGAAATGGAACGGTGATGCCTGTTTTCTCAGTGTAATCTGAGAGACTCCTGCTCAAATTGAGAATATGTAATGTGAGGACAGGTGCTTCAGGTGGGATCTAGCTACACAATTACTCCAGGAACAGAAAAATGGTTAGGTACTAATGTAACATCAATTTTGGGAAAAGATCCATGGTTGTTTGAAAGAAAAGCAGAGTACTAACATGGCCGTTAATGTTAATTAACGTTTTGTTTGAAGCATTATCTATAGGAAAAAGAGGTTGTTTATCAAAAACGTGAATACTGATAGCTCTGGGTGATGAGGTTTTAACTGATTCTGATCATACGTCCAGGGAGTAGAATGAACATCTGAGAGCAATTCTTGGTATAGTAGACAAGCAGCATTTCCCAAACAGGCTATGAAATGCTAATCCCACAAGATGTTTTGGGGTCAAAAAATTACACTGAGAAAACCACATGCTAAATTCTACTCTTGAAGGCTCATAGTACACCGCACCAAAATGATTTAAGTCCTACAAAAAAAGGGGTGTTTTTAACATTAAGCCTACATTTCCTAAACGTTGGGAGGAACCATTTTCACAGTGCAACAAACCAACCTTCCACCATGATACGGCACAACTCTCTTTGGGAAGATGCTCAGAAGCTTTAGAGACTCCTATGAGTACTGTGTATCATGTAGCCAGTGATTTCCCAGGAAAGGGAGTGAGCACAGTATTTTTTAAGGGAAGAATGCTGTATCCACAGCCTTTACCTCCCAGAGGAATTAATCAGTATCACAACCTGGATAAATGAATTTTATATAAAAAACCCTCAAAGATGTGAAGTGTGTGGCAGTCTCCTGTTTGGAAGCGCTTTGAATATCTGGAGTATCCGGAATTAATCACAATTTAATACTTACCATTTAATCGCCATGATGTTCCACTTCCTGGACTTTGCAAGTAAAGGGGCCCAAGCTTGATTCCCAGATTAATCATTTGAAAAAACAGTTAATTCTCTGCACTGAAGAAAGTCCATACCTGGCTCATTTTGGGCAATTCCTTCTCAGTCTTATCTTTTTCTTTGGCTAAATCCTTAATCATCTGCTTCAACTGTTTCTGATAATCAACTGCACCACCTTGAAACAAAGGAAAACAATATGCAATTTAAATAAATTCAATGAAAGCAAAAAGGAAACTGTGTAGGAGCGGGGAGCACGGAGGTGAGGAATTCCACTAAGCAAATTCCTTACAAAACTGGAAAGCAAGAGACTCTCAGAAAGGCAGTTGGTTTTACAACTGACCACAGATGGGTGGTAATTGGGCAACATCTGCTCTAAGAGGGCTTGTGAAACAGCAAACAGGAGGAAGGAACCTGGTGGTGGGGCAAGGGGCAACTACCCAGCAACACTCCCCCTTGGAGCGTTTCTGGCCTCTAGAGGCAGTGGGTTTGGGGATAATTCATTGGGCGAGGGGAAAAGACAGGGCTGTTACAAGAAGAGGGCTGAGGGCAACCCAGTGCCTCCTTTCACTGCACTGGTGTGCCCAGGGGAGAGCAGCAATGAAAAGAGGTACATGCCATTGGGTTTCCCAAAAACCAGGGGTCTTGATGTTGACAACAGAGGATTCTTTAATGGCGACTGGCTGTCTCGGTCATTTTCAGTGAGTGCTTAAAGAAAGATGAGAGATTTAAATAAATTTTCTGTGTTACCAAAACTGACAGTAATATAGCTTTTTAGACAACTAAAGGCTAAGCCAGCAGCACCCAAACGCACACCAAGCACTGTCTGGCTACGCAAAGAAAATAGAAAATAAAATGTCCCCCACACCAAATGTGCTTTTTCCCAGAGGCCTGTGGAGACTGTTATAATTAACAACGTACACATTCATAGGAGGACACTGCTGGGAATAAATCAAAGGCAAAATTGAGCTGCGATTCAACAAGCTTCCACAAGATGGCAGCAAAACTTTGGAAAGCTTCCCTTTTTCCAACTTTGCCCAAAACAAATTCTGTGAAGTGGCACATGTGAGAATCCATACTGAATAGGAGAAAAATTGCAAACCCTGGTACCTGGGGCAGTCAGGATGGAAATGGATTTCCCAGGGAATAGTGCTGGGATGCCAAAGAGTTTGGCATACCACAAAGTAGAAACGTATATACAAGTCATCAACAAAATGTGATGGGAGCCATAAAA